TCCGGGTGCTCCGGTTTCCTCCCACAGTCCAAAGATGTGCAGGTTGAATGGGTGTAGCCATGGGAAACTGCCCATAGTGTGCAGGGATGCGCAAATTAGGGGATGTTAGCCATGGGAAATGCAGGGCTATGAGGATGGATCAGCGTAGACTTGATGGGCCAAATGGCTTTGTTCTGCACTGTAGGAATTCTACGTTCAAGTTCCACAGGCCACCAGCTATCAGACATGGCCTAGGTCTCTCTTAAAAACACTGTGCCTTCTGATTACCTCTACCCTATGGCCATCAGAAGCTGTCTCGTTTGATTTACTACATCTAAACCACCTTTGTGATTTTTACACACCTTTCCCAAATCTCCTCTTGGCTTCCCCTGCTCTCAGAAGCGAAACACAAGTTTCTAAAAAAAACTGACCAGGGAGCCTTTGGGTGGTTAGATCACAATGGGTCTTGTCTTTCTCTGTCAGAATTGTCCCAGTTCCTTAAAGATGAAACTCCTGGACTTGCAGGGAGCAAACTCAGCAGGATTGCCATTGAAACTTTCAAAAAGTCATTTTTATTTTTATTTTCTTTGAATATTTTGATTAATTGGTAATGAAGATATCCAACACGATCAAGTGAGCAACTAAACATCTGATTGTCATAGAGTCATAGATGACTGATTGGCCACAAAAAATTGCAACATCTACAAATAAACCAATAGACATCCCTGTTCCATATTGTCCACAAAGGAAATGTTGGCCCTTATTTCAAAGGGGGTTGGAGTATAACAGTAAGGAAGTCTTACTGAAACTGTACAATGTGCTAGCAAGACCACATCTGGAGTATAGTGAGTTCTGGTCCCCTTATTTAAGAGAAGATATTATTCTGTTGGAGGCAGTTCAGAGAGAGTTCCCCAGGATGATCCTTGGTTTGGAGGTATGTTCAAATGCCTTGTGAGCAAATATTAAGCAGGTTTTTCTGATGAAGGGTCTAGGCCCGAAACGTCAGCCTCTCTGCTCCTATGATGCTGCTTGGCCTGCTGTGTTCATCCAGCCCTGCACCTTGTTGTCTCGGATTCTCCAGCATCTGCAGTTCCTACTATCACTGAACATATGAGCCTAGATTTTGTGCCCAAGTCTCTGGAAGAGCCTTTGAACATCTAAACCCCTGATCCAGAAGTGAGAGGTTCATCACTGTGCTGCAGCTGACATTTTATATCAATGCATTGACTTGTGTGAAATCGATATGTCTTCGGTGTGAGAAAGGGTTCCTGCCTGTTCCAACCGTATTGATTTTTGTCAGGCACAGCCAAGTGCAGGCCAGACCCTTTCTCAGATATTGTGAGAAGATAGCAGAGTTGAGATTGTTGGATGGATTCAGTCAAATCAAACAGCATAGACAATAAAGTGGGGATGACAGGGTGGGTTGGTCATGCGATGAGGCCGGGCGTGAGGAGATTTTGAAACTGGGTTGTAGGCTCCAATGGTCTCAATGTGGACTTTACCAATTTCAAAATCTCCCATGACCAACCCCACGCCCCCCCATCCCCGCCTCCTTGACCTGACACAACTTGTCCATCTTCTCTCACACCTATCCGCTCCTCCCACCTCATTGACCAATCCCCACCACTGCCTACCTGCACTCACCTATCACCATCCCACCTACCTTCCCCGGCCCCATCCCTCCTCTCTATTTATTTCAGAGCTCCCTTCCCCATCCCCCATTTCTGAAGAAGGGTCCCGACCCGAAACGTCAACTTTTCTGCTCCTCTGATGTTGCCTGCCTGCTGTGTTCCTCCAGCTACACACTGTGTTATTTCTGACTCCAGCTTTGGCAGTTCTTACTATCTCTGAACATAGACAATAAATGCTGGTGTAACACCCTCATCTTATGAACAAAAAAAATCCAGATAGATAGTTAGTTGAGAAGAGTTGTAGATTCAAATATGGAGATAAAACAACTTTTATTATTTTCCTGTTTAAGGTAACTGACTGTAAAATACAGATACATTGTGAAACTTACTTCCCGTTTCATAACAACAAATTGTGCACATATAAAGGACATCTAAGAACTATAAAAATAGAAACTTCTGACATAAGTTGGCATAACAAAATTACGGCTGGTGTTTTTTTCAATATTGCACCAATCAAAAAATCATTATATCAAATTAATATTAACACAAGGTAATATGAACAGAAATATCTACTGGGTTTACAAAGTGACATAATAGAAAAAATTGTTACATGGTTATTCAAAAAGGATCTTCCTGGGTAATCACTTCTTTCAGCCTTCAGTTTTCCCAATTATTTCCTCTGTAAGTAGTTAACCTGAAGTGATGTTTTTCTGCACACCTATGTTACACACAGTCAGAAGTCACATGACATCAGGTTGTAGTCCAACAGGTTTATTTAAATACACAAGCTTTCAGAGCACTGCTCCTTCGTCAGGTGAAGTCGTCAGACGAAGGAGCAGTGCTCTGAAAGCATTTGATTTCAAATATACCTGTTGGACTATAACCTGGTGTCGTGTGACTTCTGACTTTGTACATCCCACTCCAACACCGGCACCTCCACGTCCATGTTGTGCACCTTCATGCAGATGTATCACCACAAAGAATGCAAAGTGATGTTTTGTGCTGTTGGAAATAAAGCAATAATCCACCAGAACTTTGTATGGTGCTTCACCCAATGTAAATACTACCAGTTGAATCCCTGACTTGTATCATCCTTCCCCAAAAATCAAAGATACCCACATCCAGAAAGGGATAAATTTAGCCTAACTTGCTGGATGGGCAAACCATTGCGTTGGGTGGACAGCCCAATAATATTCCCCATTTGACGTCAAACCAGAGCTGCACTCGATCTCATCAGATTCCTGATGGATGGGTTTTGGAGACAATAATTATGATTTTTTTTTAGCACGCCTAAACATGTGTCACTTCAGTTGCATTGGTTCTGTGGCCAATTCTGTGAATCCACTCAATGTTGTGATGAATAGAGTTAGGAAGGCTAGCAGACTCACATTGGCTAACTGTTCCATTCATAAATGCACCAGCTACTTATGTAACATTTTAATTTTGCTTGCTACATAAATTTAAGTCAGTGCATTTTTGTTGCCTCAGTCATTTTTTGATATCCAATTTAATGTGCTTTTCTTTTTGAAAAATGAGTTGCACTAAGATAAAAGAACCGAAATGTTTTCTTTTCATAACCCGTGTGGCTTAACTTAATCTATGAATCAATGTTCTGACTCATTTGTTTCAATGTTGAAATGAAATTACCGGCAGATTTTGGTGTTTTCTTTAAGGTTTATTCATCAATGATGTAACAGTGCTGGTATTAATCATCTTGAAACCTCTGATCTCAGATGACCTTAAAGAAACAAGCCAGTGAGGAAGAAAGCTAAGTGCAAATTGGACTATGATTCCTGGCTGCATGAACTGGAGTGAAAGTGCTTGCGGGCTGCAATTGAGAGGCCTTTGGCAATGTGAGCCCGTTTATAAAACAGCTCTCAGTGCCTAATTCTCTCACTTGCAAAACCTGACTGGCTTTCTGTTTGTTCACATGATACATTACCTTATTGAAACAGCGAGTTATTTAAATCAACATGTTTGGACATGTTATGACGCAATCCTGGGCCAGGTCAAACTTGAATCCTATCTCTGCACCACAAGATCCTAAATCAATTTATTTATATCATTCACGAAAAGAAGCTTTATCATAGTTATTTTAATCATTCTGTTTGAACATACTATGTCACATGTCCAGCTCAGGGGGGACTTGAACCTGGTCTTCTGGCCCAGAGACAGGAACCATATCACTGCACCCTAACTAGTGTTTACTATGTTCATATGGAAATGAAGGTTTGAATTTGTGTTAATCATTTGTAGAAGTTCTGTCAGAAGGATAAGCGATACCAATCCCTACATTTAGTTCCCATTACTCACAGTTTTTAGAAAAGATCTGGGTAGATTCCTGAAAGAGGGAGAGCTGCCTGAGTTAAGATGGTAGGTTTGGTGAGCAAGAGGAGCTACACTAATGAGTAACTTATGGATCATTGCTCAATTTCCTTCAGATATTGGAGAGGAACATTGCACACTGTTTCTTACATAGGGCACTGGTTCCTTCAGTAGGTGACCACATGATGGAGGATGGCTTGGTGTTCTATGTGGGCTGCATCATGTGTAGATGGGGTAGGCTTCATGACCTTTTCTACTCCCATTCATAGATAAACAGCTTCGTTAAACATAATACTCAAAGGCATATTAAAAAGACTGAAAAAAATCAGTCCCACTGAAGAAATAGTAATCTTCACCCGTACTGAAAAATATTACGGAAAAAATATTCAAAACATTATAATAAACCAAACTCCCCAACCCGATAATGTCTCCATTGGTTTTGTCCTATAAAAGATCAGAAATCACACGACACCAGGTTACAGTCCAACAGATTTATTTGAAAACACAAGCTTTTGGAGCCTTACTTTGGTTTTCAAATAAACCCGCTGGACATAACCTGGTGTTGTGTGATTTCTGACCTTCTCCACTCCAGTCCAACACCGGCACCTCCACATCGTGGCTTTGTCCTGTAAAGACTTAGCTTTGGAAAATTTTATTTCAATATGCACTCAACAGCATAAATTCCCAGTGAAATACAAGACATGAAAGTAACTTACACATCCACTTCATGTCCTCTCTTTTGACAATATATTCATGAGAATGTATGGTTAAACAAGATGTGTTTTGTTTATGAAAAGGAAACAAAACTGCCACACACATTGTGATGAAATTATACACTTATCACTTGATTATCCCTATATTTGAATTTTGCATTTCACGAAAATAGACTTTGGTTTTTAAAATGCCACTAAAGCACTGAAGGGGGACAAAGCATGTGAAAATGCAAAAGCTACTTCTTCTGGCAACAGTTAACACCCTTTTCTTAATATCCGCTATTCTTTGTCAGTACATTTCTCCCTCAAGCACGTTTTGCTGCTTTCCTGCTCATCCGAACGGTGACTGATGTTCTCCAGCACCCACCCAGCTGGACATTATTTAAGTCCAAGTGTCAGTAGAGCTCTGAATTTGTAGGGGGCATTAACGTAGCATGTACATTCCAGCAGAAGTTAATGAACAGGCAGCTGATATCAATTGTTAACGTTCAGGGACTACCTTGGCTGAGATCAGAAACTTCCAACACAACAGGAAAATGATTCGGTTTGGCAACTTTTTGCTCTGTATAGCATCCACTCAATGATTTTACTTGTTGATCCCTAATGGGATCGTAACCTTTAACGTGTCCATCTGACCTCCATGGGTGACAAGCAATCATTCATAATTAACCCCATTAATGTTGAAACATGCTGTCAACTGGGGACCTCCCCAGCTTTAGTCTGAAGGGTTTTTTTCAATGGTTTTAGTTGCTTATTTCAAAGATGACAGGAACTAGCACTTGTCATTTTTTCTTAAGGTTTGTAAACCTTAAACAAATACCCTCTAATTCGTCCTTAACATCCTAGGCAGCTTGAAGTCTCTTAGAGACTTCTCAGAATGTTAAAGAATTGAACTTTTCCCCCTCTCAATCTTTTTCCAAAGAAATAAAATCGAAGTAGTTGGACACTGTGTTCATTAACCTAACATGGACACCCAAGTCACATAGTCAAAAACAAATAATGTCCATTGCAAAATTACGATAACTTGATCAGTGATCTGCGCACAAAATAATCTCTTCAGTCATTACAGCACAGTTTTGAAAAATCTACAAGAACTCTACAAGCAGAAAGTGTGCTTTATATCTGATTTCTGTGGATTGAATCTCTGTGAATTTACGTGAATTTTGGTTCACATGTGCTTTGTGTGATGGCAACACTACCCTGGCAAAAGATATTCCACGTTTGAAAGGCTCAGTCCCCTTTCCGTGTACCTAGCATTACGGCAGCAGAGTCAGATTTACTTGCTGATGCTTCCATTTGCCCGAGTAGGACTGAAAGAATCTTCATCTGATTTGTCCTGTTCAACACGCATTAGTGAGCGTTTCCTTTTGTTCGACAGCTGATTGCTGGATACGGACGATTTTCTAGTGAAGGAACTTGTAAGTCTCCGTCTAAAGTTCTCTCCAGAGAAGAAATACAAGAGCGGGTCAAAGCAGGTGTTGGCAGCTGCCAGACAGAGCGTTACCACGACGGACTTTTGCATGTAAATAATGTCATCACAGTTCTTGTTGTTTTGTAGCAGGAAATGCAGGTGTATTGTACGCTGGGTGTGGTAGGGCATGAAACTGATCAGGAAAGCAGCCAGCACAATGATGATCAGATGCACTGCTCTTTGACGCGATACTTTCTTCCTGTGAATGGCCGCTGTGCTTTTCATTAACGCCCTCACAATGAATGTGTAACAAATGAGGATGACGAGAAATGGCAGGATGAAGCCTAAAACCAGCGAAATGTAGTTCATAATCAACAGGTTCTTCAGGTCTTCTTTACGCTTACCATCTGGTGGTTCAAAGCACTTTGTTTTATTTCCATTCCTGTGAGAGCCTGACAAAAGGAACGGGCTGCTGGTCACAGTGACAAAAATCCATATCACAGCACAAACTATCTTGGCCTTCTTAATATTGACTATTTTCAGGTTCTTAACAGGGAACACAATGGCCAGGAAACGATTGAAGCTCATGGCAGTCATGAAGAAAATGCTGCAGTACAGATTGACGTAGAGAGAATAAGAACTGATTCTGCACAGCATGTCCCCAAAGATCCACCTGCCCTTGAAAGCGTAGTAAACGACACGTAAGGGCAAGGTGCAAACACACAGCATGTCCGACACTGCCAGGTTGAGCATGTAGACATTGAAGGCTGTTCGCTGCTTGAATGTTTTCACAAGTACGAACAGAGCAAAGGCATTTCCTGACAAGCCCACCACAAAGACCAGGGAGTACACTGTAGAATAGACTTGATTCCGGAAATCATCAATTGACGGGCATGACATATTCGACGAATAGTTTGCTGGGGTCTGTCTTGTTTCGTCAGCCATTTTTGAAGCTTTTTGTTGGAAGGAAATGTCTTCAACACTGGACAAAAAAAAACGAGAAACAATTAACCCAAAGGCATCTGTCTCACTACAACCATACGTTTACCTTAAGGTATAGCATGACCTTAGAAACCTGTCTCTTTGGAACATTTGTCTTCAAAAGCAATTGTTTAAGATACCTAGCAATCGAATATTATATATTGTTTTTAAAGTGTACTTATTTAGCCCATTCTGTTATGATTTTGCAGCCAATTTTTACCTTCAAGAAATGAGATAGCTTGTACTTGCTCGCACTTGCATTTGTGTACCACCTTTTATAGTCGTAAAATATCCCAAAATGTGGTAGAAGAGTGCTGCAATTTCACCTAAAAAGGGTGCTGCAGAAACTCAGCTCGTCTTGTACCGTCTGTAGAAAGAGAAAGGAAGTTAATGTTTCGAGTTCAATAATGACTCTTCAAAGCTTACAATCTGACACTGAGATGGAACTTGGTGAAGAATTACAGGGAGGGAGGTCAAAGATGTCGGCTTTTGAAAGAAATGGACAATTAATAACAAATAGGTTGGCTTACAAGAGATTTGAGAGAATTTCAATCACGCAAGTAGTAGCTATTACTTTTTGTGACTTCTTGGGGTTAATTAAATTTCAGTTGCTGTCGGGGGTCCATTCTGAGATGTGCTAATTGTAAATTTGTTAGCACTCCTTTTGTGAAAGGTGGAGGCAGGCATATTGTTAGGATCTTTACAGTTTTCATTTGAAAAGTGACTTGTAATTTGTTGCTGGTTGTGAATATGCTGGGGACAATTTGGCACAAGATTTACACTTGCAGTGAGATGAATTTGTCAGAAGTTGAACTTTTGAAGATTATACACATATGCGCACACACAGTCATGTGTCAAGATGAGCTGGCAATGAGCCTCATTGTTTTGTATTTACCAGTTTCATTAAGTCATTTGTATAAACATTAACTCAAGCCCATTTAGCTATTGGCCTCAAGCCAGAACCAAAGGTTGGATGAGGGATGTTCTGTAAAATTAATCTTAGGCCAATCTGATTTAAGTAAGCCATTTTGCAGGGTGGTGTACACAGTATGTTAAGGAAACTATTTATGGCAGGATCCTCTGTTACAATGTAAGAACTGGGTGGAACTGCAAGAGACACTTTTATCTAGCTGTCACCTATAGTTTCTCAATTTACTATTGCAGTCTCTGCTTTTTTGAGTATTGTTGATTTAAAGACTGACAGTTTTCAAGGTCAAAAATCACACGACACCAGGTTATAGTCCAGCAGATTTATTTGAAGACACAAGCTTTCGGAATCTCGCTCCTTCTCCAACACTGACACCTCCACATCATGACAGTCTTCAGTTCAATAATCTGATAGCTATCAGTCGTTACACCTCTGTGTACAATTTTCCTGTAAACTGTAATCCAACAATTACATCAAATAAATCTTCTTAACTTTCCACTTTGTCCAATCCTGTGTAATGATTATTGTTAAGCTTTTGAACTTCTGGCCCCTTTAGCCTGATTCTTTAATGTCTGTACATTCTCACTCTGAGCTGGGGTCAGTACGGAGTCAGGATTAGCACCAGGAATACAAGCTGACTTATCTTATGCCTATCCAAGCGACACCAAAGACATTCTTTTTGCAGCGAATCAACTGTGATTATGTAACTCTTTACTCAACAGGGCACTTGGTTCTTGTAATGTTGGCTCAGCTTTGCGGCATTAATACAAAGAATTTAGATAAACCTGAGGTGCTGCATTTTGAAAAGGCAAATCAGGGCATACTTATACACTTAATGGTAAGGTCTTGGGGAGAGTTGCTGAACAAGGGGACCTTGGAGTGCAGGTTCATAGTTGCTTGAAAATAGTACTGCAGGTAGAAAGGATAATAAAGAGGGCATTTGGTATGCTTCCCTTATTGGTCAGTGCACTGAATACAGGAGTTAGGAGGTCATGTTGTGGCTGTACAGGACATTAGTTTGGCCACTTTTGCAATACTGCGTTCAATTCTGGTCTCCCTGCTATAGGAAGGATGTTGTGAAACTTGAAAGGGTTCAGAAAAGATTTACAAGGATGTTGCCAGGTTTGCAGGTTTTGAGGTATAGGGAAAGGCTGAATAGGCTGGGGCTATTTTCCCTCGAGGGAGGGTGAGAGGGTGACCTGATAGAAGGTTATAAAATTATGAGTGGCATAGATAGGGTGAATAGTCTATGTCTTTTCCCCAGGGTAACAGAGTCCAAACTAGAGGGCATAGGTTTAAGGCGAGAGAGCCAAGATTTAAAAAGGACCTAAGGAGCAACTTCTCATGCAGAGGGTGGTGAATGTATGGAATGAGCTGCCAGAGGAAGTGGTGGAGGCTGCTGCAATTACCACATTTAAAAGGCACCTGGATGGGTACATGAATAGGAAGGGTTTAGAGGGATATGGGCCAAATGCTGGCAAATGGGACTAGATTAATTTAGGATATCTGGTTGGCATGGACGAGTTGGACCAAAGCATCTGTTTCTGTGCTGTACAGCTCTATGTCTCTGTGACAATAACCACTAAGAATAATGATAACACAGGAAGCAATGTATGCTGTTACTCGAGAGGTGAGTGAAGGAATGGCAAATTTCAAGCCAAGATGTGAAATCCATGATAAATTCAAGATGGGTTGCATCAAGTTCCAAAATGTTTTCATCTGTTTTTGATCAACAGTATATTCCAAGTTTTATTTTCAGGAAACTGCTCTCTTCTGTTGCAATTCTATCGCAGGTACCGATTTCAGTAGCTGCTGCATCCGACCACACAGTTTACCGTTTACACTGGAACTCCAATTCTCTTGCACAGGAGAGGGAGCCCTTCTAATTTGTAGTTACCTTCTAATTTTGAAATTTCAATTCTTCAGTCGAAATCATCAGCCTAAATAGTGACGAACAATGGGCCCAGCATCAATAGCCGTGGAACATCAATTCTCATTGTCTTTCTATTCTATCCCTCTGTTTTCTGTGTTGTAGACAGTTTGCTCTCTAAACTTTCTCTCTGACTCCACAGGCTGGATTTTTCATCTTGGCCTTGAAATAAGGCAACTGGGCCATTTCCCACATTTGGAAACGTGAGCCTGTCACCTTTGTTGTTCCCTTCCTATTTTTCACTACTGGAGATATTGGTAAGGAGGTTCATGTTTCTGAGTCTGGAAGCTGTGTCAGAGAAGAATGTGTTGGAAGGAGGGCTGATCAGAAGGCCAATCTGAGTTAGCTGAGTTCTTCTGCCAACTCTACACCAACCTCACCTCCATTTATCCCCATACCAGCCTATTTGCAACCCTCCCCAAAACCCCCAACTCGCCCTCCATGTCCCCATGAATCCTTCATACTCCATCACTTGTTATCCACTATGACATATTTTTAAAATGAACAGGATAAAATAATTCTCACAATCTAATAGAGTTGGCATATTCAACAGCAGGACAGAGTTTCCAAAAAAAATCATTGGAATTTAAAGCTTAGTCCAAAAACACGACAGGGAGAATTTTCCAACTTAATTTCTTCAGGTTGGGATGCACTATTGCACTTTTGCCGTGATTGTAATTTAATACATGTCAACATGGCTGCACTCTGTTTCTTCTCTTTTTATTCTCAACTATTTTTAGTTTTCTCTGTCAGTGTGCCTCAGCCTGCTGCAGTTGCGGAGAGTCATGCTATGTATACACGCCTGCCTGTGGACTGGCATTGGACTTTTTCCTGATTATGGAACATCCAGCAGTAAAGGAGAGACTACCCTGGCCTTCAAACAGACCACCAACAAACCCTACCTTGTTCAGGCCTGCATTACTGAACTGGAAAAGGCTCACCCCTCAATTACGTGGGATTCTGGGTATACCCATGAGTGGGCTGACAGTGGCCCTCCAGCAGGCTGACAGGTCCACCACTGTGGACATTAAATCCAGCTCCATGTAGAGTTGTGACCCTATCCTCTGTTTGACCCCAACAGTAGAGTGCTGACTTAAAACCCAAAATCTTGGCTCTGACATTGCTGTGCCGCTACATTGCTCGAACGAAACAGTAAAATTTATTCAATGATCTTGATCCCTGATGGGAAGCCTCAATGTCCTTATAATGAGTACAGTGGTGTTTTAGCTACATGTCTGAGCAATATTCAGCCACAGAATGCAGCATCCCTGGACCCTTCAAAGGATGGAAAGGGATGATGACAGACATTAGGAGTTTAGGTAAATATCTGAATCAATGGATTAAGGACCAGTACGCCTTAGTGTAATGGTGTGGGAAGAATTTCTAGTATTTGAAATTTCCTGAAAAAGCAAAATTACTGCATTCATTTAAACAATAAAACAGAATGCACTTACTGCATCTTTGCTACTTTTGTCATCTTAAATGAGTCGTGTTTAAAACAACAACATTGAACCAAAACAAGATCTGTGCCAATGTTGTTCCATATACATTTACTGTAAAAAGAAGAAACACAAAATAGCAAGTACTGCCAGCTTCATATAAACATCAGAGATAGTAATAACTGCCGATGCTGGAGTCAGAGATAACACAGTGTGGAGCTGGAGGAACACAGCAGGCCAGGCAGCATCAGAGGAGCAGGAGACGGGTCCTGACCTGAAACGTCAACTTTCCTGCTCCTCTGATGCTGCCTGGCGAGATGTGTTCCTCCAGCTCCACACTGTGTTATCTTTATATAAACATTATTGCTCCAGTTTCTATTGAATTTTTCTCACTGTTAGTCTGGGGGACGTTTTCTTGCAGATTAGTACTTCCATTAATACAGCTGTGAGATAATTGTTACAAAGAGGTTGACTATTTGTTGGGTAACATCAGAAAGTAATTTTCTGCCACTGTTAACCTGTACATAACCTCAAAACATGGGATGCAAGGCGTTCTGGCTGGTTAAAGGTATGCGGATATAACTATTTGTTTAAAATAATGTTTAACTGCAAAGCATAACTTTAAAAGTACCTTCTCAGCGCTCCAGGAAGTTTAAATCAGTAAAAAAAAGTTTTGATTTGTGTACTTGCATTCTAATTAGTGGAAGTGAGGTGATTTGATGTTTGCAAAATGCTGGAACAGTTCCAACTCAAAGATTAAGGATACAGCATCAAGTTTATCAAAAAATAATGAAGAATTAGGGGATGATACTGGAAGTCAGAGTCACTCAGAGCTGCCTGTGCTCTGGAATGCAGTGGTAGGGATTTAGGCAGTGAATAGAGAGAAGGATTTAGAAGAGCAAAACAGTTGGCAAGGTAAATATCAGATGACCTCCCAGGGCCTGCAAATGCAGAAGCAACAGATTATAGCTATGTCAAGGCCTGTGAGTTTGCCAAATATAAGAAAGCTGACAGATTGAGAATTAACAGAAATTCATACTGGCATAGATTCAATTGTGCATCATGTACTG